AGTTTTTTATTTATAATTATTTTAACGTGTAATGTAACATTTATATTGTTTCTACTCAAATATCTTTTACTTTTATAAAAGTAATTCAAATAATCTATTTATTGTAAATCATTGAGGTTTTATCTTTTTATTTTTTGTAAAATGTAAGTGTTAATGTATTCTGTACGAACCAATGATGCGTATAAAATCTCGATTTTGATAATACTGCTATTTTACAAAGTTTGAAGGGTTTTGAAAACACATTAACCTTTTTTATATGAACGGATCAAGTTTTGAAAAAATATTTATACATATACACATATAATATACAGAAATAAGCTGACCCTCCAACCTATACATCTCTCCCCTGTTTTTTCCGGTGAAAACCCCCCATTCTTTTTCGAATTCCCTCTTCACCATCACATCTCCACATATACAATAAGACCTCGTACAAGAAACCTGTCAAAAAACCCTTTCTTCCCCACTCACTGGGGATGAAACCCCCTCGAGAACCTCTCCACCTCTATATAATTCATCTATGCATCTGTCCCTCCATACTCATCGCAAAATTAATCTTTGATGTTGGAGGTCGACAGTTCGGTAGTCTGTTTAGGGGTTCTAGATTTCTCTTTTTTATTGTTTTAGATTTTGTTTCATTCTAGATCCATCGACCTATTTCACCAATGGATTTAAAGCTAAGTGTATTTTGGTGGTTTAAATCAACCAAATCGAAACCATATAATGCATTATTTCATTTTTATACTTAATCACATATAACATCTTTGTAATTTAATTTACTCTATAAAAATAAACACAAAATTTAAAAACAATGGTAAAGTTGACACCTTCTTTATTGTGTACTATGGATATAACCATTGTTTTGTCCAAAAATAATTAAAGTAAGATTATGATTATCATCATCATGCCTTCTTTATGACATCTTTAATTAAATACTAAAAACATTATAAATAGTATATATTATGAAAAAATGATTACTTTACATACATGTAAATAGTTTTTTAAATATACATTTAAAAAGTATGTCACCTTTCACCTACACTACATCACATCATCATCAAAAGAAATACTTTATTTAAAATAAAAATCAACACAAAATATGTTTAATTTTTAATGGTTCTAAAGGGGTGTTTAAGATTGACTTATTTGACATAACTTATACTTTTCTATAAGAACATCTATCATCTTATTATAAGTTAGAAGAGTTTAACTTTTTTAAAAACTCCTTATTACCGGTTTGACACCGGTATAAGTTGTTTATCCAAACACTCAAAAATGCTTATTACCGGTGCCACACCGGAATAAGTCAATAAATTATTTTGATAAGCAATTCCAAACACCACCTAAATACTATGAGGTGTGGCATAGCGATGAGAACAAATATCAAGTCTTAGAAATCACGAGGCCATGATGCTTTTCAAGGTGTAATTATGACGGAAAATCTTTATTATCATATATACATAAACATATATTTTATACAATTACTCAATGAGTTAATGATGTTAAACAATTTAAATTACATTATATATTAAAAAATAATAAAAAAAACATTAAAAAAAGGTAAGAAAAATCAAATATCACGTTATAAAAATCACACATTATACTATAGTATGCCACAGACTTAAGGTAACATAAGATATAAATTTTGAGTCACGACATACCACAACGAGTGATTGAAATAAGTTACCAAACTTTTACAAAATGCAGTGTTGTTTTTTTTTTGTCAAACTTGTTGGGTTAAATAAGTTTTTGCTAACCGTGTAATAAAATTTATTTTATTTAATTAGAATGGTACTCGCATAATGCAGCAAGATACATCTTGATTTTAATGTTTCAATCTTTTTTTGTGTTAATCGATGTTATAATACGATTTTATATGGTTTTGAGAAAACGATAATGTTTTTATTTTTGAATAAAATATAAATATGAAGATAAAATAAAATTTTGAAAAATATATACCGATATTAGTATCAAACTAACAATTTAAAATTTCTCCTTTTTTGTGTAATTTCTTTAATTTTTTTTTATTGTTGGTTTAATAATGTAACTTTTTATAAATATAATAATTAAGTATTTTGTTAGAACTCAATGATTATATTAATTATATTTTAGATCTTTATATTTAAAATGAGATATGTATCCTTTATTTGATTATACTTATCTGTAGTTAGTTACACGAATTCAAACATGAAGCTTTAATCAATTGTACTTATGCACAATTTACTTGTAATCTTAAATTTTAAGTAATATTTATCAATAAACAGTACTTAATGCGTAAAAAATAGTTTTTTAAGAGTTTTTATCAAATACTTTATAATACTAGAAGGATACTCACACAATGCAACGAGATATTACGATTTTAGTATTTTGTTTTATTCTTTGTCTCTATCAATATAATACGATTTTACATGGTTTTGAGAAATTAATAATGCTTTTATTTTTAAATAAAATATAAATTTGAAGATATCATAAAACTTTGAAAAAAATATATTAATGTTAATATCAAACTAACTATTTAAAAATTCTCGTTTTTTGTATAATTTTTTAATTCAGTTTTTTATTATAATTTAATTTATGTTTAATAATGAAGTTATTTATTTTTGATTTAATAATATAATTTTTCATAAAGATAATAATTAAATATGTTGTTAGAAGTCAATTATTAACCTAATTATATTTTAGAGTTTTTATATTTAAAATAAGATATTTATCTTGTATTTGATTATGTTTATTTACAGTTAGTTATACGAATTCAAAAATGGAGCTTTAATAAGTTATACTTGTATACAATTCACTTGTAATCTTGAATTTTAAGTAATATGTATTAATTAACAATACATCATGCATAAAATATGGTTTTTAAGAATTTGTCGTCAAATGTTTTATAATATAGTATAAACATCATACCTTATGTTTTATATAATATGTTCGATTTAATTAGTTAACCCTTTGTCAAATAGATTTCATATATAAATCGATGAGCCAATACGGCTACCAAATACAACCATCCTTCCTCTACTTTAGTCGGTGTTTAAAAAGACGCATCATGACGTAAGACGCATCTTCGTTGGTGTGACACAACCCATAATGTTGGTGTAAGGCGTGGTTCATGCTATGACACGTCATGGGTACAAGACATGAATTATTATTTTTCATATTTGTTTTGAATTTTTTTTGACTTTTGTGTTTTCACACTTTTAATTTTAAATTTTATATTTTTACAAACTCAATTAATCGCATCATTCACAGTTTCTTGGGTTCATACATGTCATAAAACTCAAGGTTAAAACAAAGTTGTAAAACCCTTTTAAGTTCTGTTTTGAATGTCTAATCACAAACTTTTTATATAATATGAATTAATTTATATGAATGGAAAAAATTATAATAGCATTATATTATTGAATAACAAATAGAAAACATACATGTATGTATGTATGTATGTATGTATGTATGTATGTATGTATGTATGTATGTATGTATGTATGTATGTATGTATGTATGTATGTATGTATGGAGAGAGAGGTGAGAGATCGTGTGAAAAAAGAGAGTTAGAGTGAGAAGCGTAAGAAAGGATATGGACTCTTGATCAACTTTAATCTCAAATTCACCTATGAATTGCTTGATACAAGGATTAATCCGGTGCATCTCATCATAATGTGCATCTAAGGATGAAGATCATTTTTTATACTTCTCACCAAAATCAGACCCTAATATATGCCATACAAAATTTACAGTTTGTACCAAAAATAAATATTTACATTTCTATTTTAGTTTGTACTAAAATATATATTTATTTTCAAAATACGTGTTTAGTTTTCAATTTTATGTTTAATTATGAGACGAATTTTCATTATTAGTATGTGAAATAAATAAATGAATAAAAGTTAATAAAATTAACAAATAAGTTTAGAGTTAAATGCATGAAATAACAATATACTTTAATAAAAAAATTTATTATAGCATTCTATTTTTGTTTTTCTTTATTACGGCAATGTACTTTTTATTAAGGCATCACACTTTAAAAAATCTATCCATTATAGCAATGGGTAACCTGTTACCTTTTAAACCGGTTAACCTCTTGTCTTTTTTTTCTTGTGTGGCTTTAATGAGGTGATGTGGATGACACATCATTTTGATGACTTAATTAAAATAAAAAATAAAAAATCTATTTCAAATTATTATTAGTGGTTTTCATTTTTTATTGCTATGATTTAAAAAAATATTTATTTTTTTTGATTTTTTCTTATTAAGTTGCATGCAAATTAAATATTTTAGAGTAAAATATTTCTTAAATAAATATGCTACATTATTTTCAAGATATATTTTGTTTGTTAAAAAGGTAACACTTTTTGTTTTATGTTGTTCAAAAAAATACATCTCTTTTAAAGTTCTTTAAAAAATGTTAACAAAATAAATTGTATTCTACAATTTTTTAATATTGTTATATTAATAAATAATTCAAAAAAATTTAATTAATTTAATATATTTATATGTCAAGTAAAAGTTTTTGAATAAATATAATATATATTCTTTAAAAGATAATATTTTTTTATAAAAAATAAACAATTCTTATCTAAATATTAATATTAAAAGTACATTGTTTAATAAGAACTAGTAGATGTTATAATAAAATAATTTTGAAAGTGCAATGTTGTAATAAGAAAGTCATAGTACATGTGGACAGTCTACATGGACAATGAGGTTGCATAGAAATCGGATATAATGAGTAAATTTAAATTAAAAGGTTATCCAATACTATAATGAGTAAATTTTTCAAAGTACAATGTTCTAATAAAAAATAGTTTGAAAATACATTGTTGTAATAAAAAAAGTTGGAAGTATAATACTATAATAACGAAATTTATAAAAGTAGATTGCTATTTTATGCATTTTGTTGATAAGTTTATTATCCAACTTTTTAAAGTGGATAACGAAGCCCAATTTTAAAGCCCACATGAAAGCCCATTTTCTTCATTTCCGTAATTCAGCGACAAAATATCCTCCAACATACAGAGCAGGAAACCAAGCGATTTCTACAGCCATGGCGATGGAAGCATACGCTTCGAAATACCCAGATAAAATCCATACGGACGTCCTCTTTGACGCTAGAGAAGCTTGCTACAAGGTAATCATTCATCATACAACACATGATTGCGTGTTTATTGCTGATAAATTTGTGAAAATTACCCTAATTACTAGGCTCGCGATGCGTTCTACGCATGCCTAGAGAAAGAGTCCAACAAGAAACCCACTGAAATTGCCTCCGTAGGTCTGCTCTACCCCCGTGAATGCAAGAAAACTAGAGAAGCTTATGACAAAGGCTGTCGCCGCACTTGGGTAAATTCACTAAAACCCCCTTCTAACTTTAACTCAATATCTGTGTTTTCACCATGTAATAAACGGGTTTAACGATCTAATCCTGATGTAAATGTTTGGGGGTTTGTTTATTGATGATTGATAAATTGATGGTGTTTGTAGGTGAAGCATTTTGATAGGCAGTATTGTGCAAAGAAGAGGGTTCAGAGGCTTTTGGATGATAATGAATCAAGGAGAGGCCCAATATCGCTTCCTCAGGCTTCTACCTTCAATTCCACTGATTGATGGTATGCTTCTTGCATCTTTGTTATAATGAACTATGATACTGGCATTGCATCTGTATATTGATTAACTGTTTACCTCAAGAGATGCTAACCGATTTTTGAATCCATTGAGGGATGATGATTGTTAATTGTATTGGTTCCGACTGCAAAACATTTTGATATTTGCAATGATGTTTCCATATTAGGGTTTGGGATGAAATTGTTCTTCTAGATGTAACTAGTTTGAGAGTTAATATGTGGTTTTCAGATTGATTGGTTTTCAAAGGATATAAAGCTTAATGGGGTACTAATCATTTTGTGAAGTCTTGTATGAATTGGAACAGTTTCTTTTTGTCAAAATGCCAAGCTAAAGCTACTTGTTTTCCCAAGGTAGTCGTTACAGATATTGATGATATTGATTTAGGTCTACAAGATTCTCGTATTTGATCACTATTATTGTAAGTATTTTAACAAGTATTAGAAATTTGGACTAGTTCTGTTGAGAAATGATGTAACGTGGAATTCACCTTAAGCGCTAACTATAGAAATTACAGTTGATGATGCTTATATGAGAATCAGTTTCGAGTAGAAATAGGATTTTTGATGCTTCTTGTCCATTTGAAGTGGTCGTGATTTTCCTAAAATGTCTTCTTTTCTTCATTTATTTAACAATTCTGGGACTGGTTTGATAATTTGGAAATGGAAAACCCCCGGAAGTTGTTGATTCAACTTAAGGTGCCATAAGATTTGATGTCGTTGGATCAGCTATGCGTAGTTGGTGAAACCTGTTTTGCAAGAACTGATGTAATGTTGCCAAAACATGTGAATTAGGTTATCATAGGAAATAAGATTACGGTTATATCTATAAATTAACTATGATTATGGCTACGGGGATGTTTACCAAATGCTTAATAGGAAAAAGTTCATTGGGTATCACTTATCTTACTAGGTGAGCATGGTATGGACTGAGAATCTTGCCAGGTAAGAGGCATAACAAGGATCGAGAATTTTACCCTGTAAGTGGGGGAGAAAAAAGATGTTTTCCCAACAATCCATTTTGATGACCTAGAATGTTACCTGATCTGATAAGATAAGTCAGGATGGTGACTCTTGCGGGTAAGCGTTTGATAAACGTCCCCTGAATTACCAATATACTAAGAACTTCATAGAGAGAAAGAACAGACTTGGAGGGAGTATAGTATCACTTAAGAAGGTGTACTCAAGTGTCAACTGTCAAGTGTGTATTTCGTCTTTACATCTTATACTACAAAATCTCATATTTATTTTCCATACATAATCAAATGGTATGCAACTAGCTGGTTGAGGATTTGACATGAGAGTTGAAAATGTGTTCATCCACAATGTACCTCCATTATTTATGACACTTGTTCTTGGATGACAATTTGCAGGTCATATATTTCATTTTTCAATATGATTATCTGGATTGTATGAGAAGAATTTTAGTGAAAAGATTTGTTGCATTGTTGCTAGATTGCATATGTTTCGTTTTTCAATATGATTATCTGTACTATATGAGAAGAATTTTGGAGGTATATGTTTCGTCATATCGCTTTTGATATAACATTCTTTCCTTTGTGTGACACAAGTTTTGTTATCATCACGGAAAATAAAGTTGGAATTTCATCGTAGTCTGGCACGAAGTCAAAATGAGTCGTGTCATCAATCTCAACCAAACACACTCTCTAGTCTCTACTAGCTTCATGTGGTGCAATAACTTCAACATATGTGAGGATGTGGCAACAAGTCAAGAAGCACATATTCGGTTTGAGATGGTAGTTTTATGAGGATCAAACACATAACATGCATATGCAATCAAACTTTGTTTTGAATTGTTAGAATACAATAGACCTCATTGAATGTATTGAAATATATGCTTGATTCGGTTTCAAACCCTTATTGTGGGAGATGAACTTAAGGGGTTGTTTGGTTCATGCTGAAGAATGTAAATGAGAATGAATTTTCATTCCCCCAGTTTAACCTGGAATGAAAATTTAACCAGGAATGAAAATTTGGGAATGAGCACATTATATTATATAAAACCAAAGAGTTTCTTGTATCTTCATTCTTATTGATTATTGTTTAATACCTCTAATCAAACATCCTTTTTTTAGGGTTTAGGGTTAATATCCCACTGATAGTTTAATACCAATAACCTCATCATTTTCTTTGCAATCGAGAGATGGATCATTGTCAATCTTGAGTAATCAAATAATCATTGAAATGAGTTCGTTTGGTACCAAAATAGAACATGACAATTGTTCAACATTTGGTAAGATAAGACTAGACTAGACAACACCTAACTAGTGAAATGACTAATTTACCCTTAGTTAGTTGTTTGTATCTTTTGTTTTTTTTTAATTAATATTTTGATTAATTTATGTAATTTATTAATTATAATAAAATAAATATTTCTTATAACAAAATGTATGATTTAGAAAGTATCAATCCTATTGAAATGACATGAAGTTTATTAATTTCCAAATTTTATTTTATACTTGTTTTATGTTTTTTTTATGTCATGAGTATTTAATAAATTACAAAAATTAACCAAACTATAAAAAATGTATGAAAATAATATTATGAGGACAATAATATTAAAGTTTAGAAATAATAAAATACAATAATAAGATTTAAAGAATGGATAAAATATAAAGAGATATGTATTTAATGTTTTAGAAGAGAATTATGTTTTATTTTGATTAGGGGTGTAAAAGATATGAGTCAAACTCGAATATCTGTATACTCGACTAGAATTTGATGGCCATTTCCAAGCTCAAACTCGACTCGAAAACTCACGAGTAGTTGAAAACAAAACTCGACTCGAACTTGATTGCAATTTTTTAAACTTGAACTCGAGCTTGAAGTCGAAGTCAAATCAAGCTCGAACCACGCTCACCGGTTGAAATTTATGAAATTTTAGGGTCTTTTTTTAAAAAATTATAAAAGTTCAGGTGTTCTCTTAACCTTTATAAATTTCCACCTCAAATTTTATCATCAAACTCACAAAGTTACAAACTTCATTTACCTTCCCCTCTTTTTATAACTATTCATCTATCATTTACCATCTCTCTTCCAACGTGGACTACTTCACCAACATTTTTATATTTTCTTGTCTTCTGTAATTATGATTTTAATGTTTGATTAATTTTTAGAGTTAAAAAATGTATAATTTTTACAACGTTTTTCTTTTATTTGGTAAGTTTATTAATAAATTTTTATATTACATTTTTTATAAAATTGATTATGTATATGAAAATTTGAGTATCTCATTAGCTTCTTGAGTCAAGTATTGGGCAGCTAGACTCGACTCGTTAGGATATCGAGTTCGAGCTAAACCTATTCGAGTCGAGTGTTGACATAGCTTTGATCGCGTTGGACTTGAATAACTTGCGAATTGTCTCGTACGCTTTACATCCCTAATTTTAATGGTATATTGGTAAAATATAGGTTGTTTCATTTTATTTGTTCCACTATGTTCCTATCTGTTTATAACAACTCAAAATCTAAAAATGATAAACATGGATAAATGCCAAACTATCCAAAGTATCAAGTCTCAAACATCTATTATATCTCAAGGTTTGCAACGGATAAACACATCCATAGTTGAAAATTATTAAAAAGGTTAAAGGAAACTAAACTAAGCCTTCAAGTCCAATTTCTTTTAAGCCTCCCATTGCCCTTGGAAGAACTCTCTACATAACTTTTACCTGAAAACAGTTTTAGTTTCGAAAAGAAAGTGAGTATTAGACCAATAGGTGTAGTGGATTCTCATAGAGACTACCGTAAAATATTTAATCATGGAAAACAAGAATTCAACAAGAAAAGTTTCTTATAATCGAAACCAATCAATATTGCGATGGACCATGCATCGTACTCGTAGATGAACTGTAATATTTGGTTTTGAATGGTAGTTGGTCGAGTTTCGAAGTTATTATATTAACGGAAAAGTTCAGGGAAAGTTATGACGTATGATGGAAGTTAAAGGACTTAAAGTTAACTATCTCCTCCTCATGGTATTGGCCTAATAAAAAAAATTCTTTTGTTGCCGGGGGGGGGGGGGGGGGGTAGTGCATGCACCGCCTCATCCCATCTTGGTATAAATAGGAAGTTTGCATGGGAGAGGGTTTTTTTTGGAGTCTTTATCTGAAAACTTTCTGAAATAGGAAATTTGAGAAGAATTGGTTATCATCTCTAAGGTGAGTTTTTATGGCTTTGATAATTTATGAGTTTTTATCTATTTTATAGTGGCTACTTGGCTTTATGATGTTAGATTTTGTGTTAAGTGTCAAGATAACATTATCAAGACTGGTATATGACTTCGTTGATCAAAGCTTCAACAGATGAGGCCCTTCATCGGATAAAGCTTTATCTGATGAGTCCCTTCATCGGCCATAGCTTTATCTGATGATGCCCCTCATCGCTTAAATGTGTTAATTGTATGGGCATTCATCGCCCAAGTGTTGACCGGTGAGGCCATTCATCGCCCAAGTATTGACCGGTGAGGGCATTCATTGCCCAAGTGTTGACCGGTGAGGGCATTCATCGCCCAAGTGTTGTCCGGTGAGGGCATTCATCGCCCAAGTGTTGTCCGATGAGGGCAGTCCTCGGCCATGTGTTGTCCGATGAGAATATTCAACCAGTTATTGTTCTTTGTGAATAATTTCCAAATGTTAAATCATTATGTTTGTACATTATATACATATATCTGGTGGGCTATCTACGTTAGAAGGCGGGGAAGCCGCGATAGTTGACAAGGTACTTGCGAATAGATGGCGGACCAGCCGCAATAGTTGGTAGGGTACCTGTGATAGATGGCGGACTAGCTGCGATAGTTAACAGAGTACCTGTGTATAGATGGCTACTTAGTCGCGATAGTTGGCAGGGTACCTGTGAAAGATGACGGGACAGCCAGGATAGTTGGCAGGATATTTATGATAAATGACGAGGCAGCCGCGATGATTGGTAGATTTATCTCTGCCATATGGCAGGACAGTTATAACAATTTTTAATAGCTGATATATGGATTGAATTTATTATTAAAATTTTATGAATGTGTAAATGTTATATGAGGGAATTCACTCACTAGACTTTTCGGTCTAACCCTTAGTTGTAAAATTTATTTTTGCAGGTCAGCTCAGGACATATAATAAATGCAAGGGAAAAATGTGATAGGCATTTGTCTTACTTTTGATCAGCTTTGATTTGAGAACATACTTATGCTTTTATGTATAGTTTTGACTGGTCTATTGTATGTACTGAAACTCGCATTTTGTTATAAACATGTTTGTTATATTATGTTCTATGCTGTTATATCGGTCAAAATACAAAATATCGGTCAGGACCGATATTCGATATATCGGTTATATCGGTGATATATCGGTGATATATCGGAAATAGCGGTTAACATAATATTTCKTAGAATTATATATATAATATGCATTAATTAGAGTTAACATAAAATTTTTAGAAGGGTTAAAATTTGGGCTTTTTTTTTTAATTCCATGGGCCTTATTTTTTTGGGCTGCTTTGTAAATTAGGTCTGAATAAGACTTTCTCAACAGTACTGTCTACGACGACTTCTTCTCACGTCGTCTCTCTTTTCTCTCTCGGTCTCTCTCTTTTCTCTCTCGGTCTCTCTTCTCGATCTCCTCTGTTTTTCTTGTAACCGATACAACATAGCCAAGCCACTGCCCAGCGACAGCAACTTAGCCAACGACAGAGCCAGCGACAGGTCTCTCTTCTCTRTCACCCATTTTGACTATTGTGCTTGTGCCAAATTTTAACCCTTGTAAAAATCGGAATATCGGACCGATTTTATCACTAAAATATCGCTAAATATCGTTAAATATCGCCGATAATATCGTTCCCGATATTTTGACCGATATTTCATGTCCGATTTTTTTCCTACGAGCGATATCCGATATATCGCCGATATATCGGCGATATATCGCGATTTTGACAGCATAGACTATGTTAGTGTTGGGTTGGAATGGCATTTTGTTTGGGAGTTGTTACAGTTGGTATCAGATCCCTGGTTTAAGATATCTAGGTATTTCCTGGTACTTAGACTTAAACTATATGCATTAACCATTCGATAATATGATCCACTGGGATTTCGAGCCTAGGAATGTGTTAAATATAATTAGATCTAGAGTGACGACAAGTGCGGTAGATTTAAATTACATAAGGCCAATGTAATCATAAGTTTACAGGTGCTTGTTTTAACTTGAACATCTTATTGTATTTAGATATACGATTAATTGTATATGTGTTTCTTGTTGTAGTTAAGAGTATTTGATAAGATGACAGATCATCCTGTACAGTCTGTTAGGATTGAGTCTATAAATCCTGAGGAGGAGAATCCTGAGTTAACGAGTATCCCTGAGGGAACGTCTGTAGGTCGTGGTAAAGGACGAAGAAGAGGAATTTCAAATACTGGAGTAAATCCAGAAGCAACGACTATAGTAGAAACAAGGAGTCGAGGCTGGGGCCGAGGTAGAGGAAGAGGTATACAACGGGAAATTCCTATTGAACAAGAAATGTCCATGCAAGAAAGCTCAACGTCAGGCAGAGGCCGGGGCAACCCTGGGTTTATTACTCAGGAAATGTAGCATAAGAATTAGGAAAATTTCAAAGTAATCTGGTATCTTTGTTGGGGCAATCTGTTCAACATAATCCAGAAAGAATGGCGAATCTGAATTTTAATGAAGAAGTCGGGGCAAGTACACCGATGACAACCAAATCTATACCACCTACCTCTTCAACTGTACAAAAAGGGGGTGATATGAAGATGTTTCTGGCCTGCAAACCTCCTACATTTTCTGGTGAACGAGACCATGTTAAAGCCATGTGTTGGCTTAAAGAAACATAGTTGAGTTTAGAAACAAGTAAGAGTGCGAAAGAAGACAAAGTGATGTTTGTTGTGTCAAAATTACGGTCAAGTGCACTATATTTGTGGGAAATC